TTTGAGACTGAAATTCTTACATCGACAGGATCGAATATCACTTTTTAACTGGCTCATTTTTTTTAATGAAATGCGCGTTGCATTTCGCCACCAAACCACATTCCAGGGATATTTGCGTTCGAGGTGTTGTGTTGGGTGTTTTGTGCATTATTGGGTGTCCTGTGCAATTAATAAGGGAGGTACAGTCGAACCCCGCTATTTCGAACTCGGTTAATTCGAAGTCCCCGCTATTTCGAAGGAAGATCGAATTCCCTTGGATTTACCCTTATGTTTTCAGTCATTTACTATCAGCTATTTCGAACTCGGTTATTTCGAATTCCCCGCTATTTCGAACTCATCGTTCTTTCCCTACACCTTAAAATCAACCCCGTTATTTCGAACTTGTCAAAAACAGAGTACGAACATAAGAGCACAGCTGGAAACGTTTGCATTTTATTTAAGCTCGTGTTACGTGATTAATAACTTAACAATGCTTGACTCACGTGCAGTGTCCCGCTAAGAAATTCCAGCTGTGTTATTCAATTACAAAACCAAAACGCATTGTTAGAGAACTGTTCTTCCGGCTGAAATACTCATGCATGAACTCTGCTGTCCCTATTCTGATCATTCGACATTGTATTTTTATTTAATCAGTGCCTTTCTTCATACTGTACTGTATTTTATTAAAAAATGCTTCATTGTTATGAATTTTACGCTTCCCCGGTGATTTCGAAACCCCGCTATTTCGAACTTTTTTCCATTTCCCTTGGGACTTCGAAATAGCGGGGTTCGACTGTATTTTTGAGATTGCATTCGTCGACGTCGTCGACACATGAGGCGCTTGCTTACGTTTTGCCTCAATTTGACGCGCTAACTCACGTGGTGATTCGTGTGTCCTCGGCGATCATCTTTCAAACGTCAGCTGAGGTCTGCTATTCTGTCTAAGTAAATCGTTCATCTTTTAAAAGTGTGCTGAATCTTCGTAAAGCGTACATATTTAAGAGTTTGCCGAAGGTCTACTATCGATCTGTGAATAATGAATCTTGCAAAGCGTTTATCTTTCAAAAGTGTGCTGAAAGTTTACACCCTAAGTAACATTTTACTTTGGATTAACTAAGCCTTCATATTTTTCTTTGGAAAATGCAGTGAAAATGCTTGCTACTCCTGGTGCATGCATCAAACCGGATTGTTTAGCTCTGCGTCCGTTGTGTCACAAAGGAAATTTACCGGCGAGTTGTGAAGCTCAGCTCCTGTTCTGCCACAAAGTAAATCTGCCGAGTTGTATAGCTAGGCGGCCGTAGTGCCACAGAGTAAATCTACCGAGTTGTGTAGCTCAGCGGCCTTTATTCCACAAAGTAAATCTACCGAGATGTGACGCCCGAGAGCACCATTTCATGATGACTTGTGATATTTTCGACACTGGGCAAACGAACATTGTAGCCCTATGTTATTTATTCGGAATAACGTGACCAGACCACGGTAGCGCCAATCAGGCCATTGAATACACTCGACCAAATTACTGGAAAAGTCAGGGGCACCCAACGACAATTTTTGGAAAATATCTTCGAATTTTCGGAACATTTGTTGTTAAATTTCTTGCTTGCCTGCCTCTCCTAGGATTTTCGAACCTCCCGAAAATGGTATAGTTGCCCATTTTTAACGGATTTTTCCCCCAAAAAGGTCACCTAGAATTTTCGGGAACCTTTTTTCTGGCTGAAATTTTCGAAAAGGTAGGTTTTGATCCCTACAATTTTCGGATCACTAGACTTTCAGCTAGGAAATCCGAACTGATGAAAAATTTTTAGGGGATAAAAAATACGTTCCAACAATACTATGTTTAACTGGTTTTTAACTATATTCTCGTTGGGTGCCCCTGAAAAGTTATTGAGGTGAGCCGCACATACATTCTTCAGAAGACTTTGATGATTCCCTTAAAACGTGTGAAATTGAGAGGTGTAGTGTAAGTAAACCAGTGTTCAAACACAATCATTGTGCGCGGCATTCACCACAAAAATGTGGTCTTGGGTCGTTCTTTAATAAGTTAAGAAGACTTGCCAGTAACGGTTCCGGCATTTTATAGTAAATTTTAGTAATTGACTACATGTTGAATTCCCAATATTAAATAAAATTAATGATTACATCTAAAACTTTCTCAACTGTTTGCTATTTAACAGTACCTGAGCCGGGTTGTTCAAAGCTGTGTTAAGATAACCCAGGCGAGGAGGGTTAGTGCGAAATTTGAACTCAGATGTGAAGGCTTCATTTTGCCAACAAGTTGATGATTGGACGCTCTCAAAAATAACTGAGAAAATTATCCAAAGAAATGTTTTTTAACGAAAGAAAAAGAAACCCGGGTTAAGCGCTGATCGGCCTTCGAACAGCTGCGCCCTGTAGAACATCTATTGCGCCAGTAAAACAAAAGTTATTTTTACACGCCCGAAGCACTATGGCCAGTGTCTTCTCAAATAACAAGCACTTGAGACGAACCATACGATATCACGCTGATCACTAGCCTTCAAAACCTTTTCATTATCATACCGCACAGTTTAAATCGAGGTTTCGCTGTACGCAACCCTTACGTTCAAAATATGCCATAATCATAGGACCATCCATCCTTTCCCCTCAACTGCTACCTGTACGCCTAGCAAACATATCGAATGCACTCTCCTAAGCTCCGATTACTCCGTAGTTTTAAAAAAATGTAATTGTTTTTAGGCAAAGCAGTACTTCCCGCGCCAACGGCGACCAGCTTTCGCAGATTGAGAAACACGTGGTCGTCTCTGTGAGAAGTACTTTGCCACAAAAAAGTTCAACAGTCCTTTCCGAACCAAAGTTTGGATCCCCCCCCCCCCCCAATAAAAAATTCCTGGATCCGCCCCTAATAAAACTGAACCGAGCCAAGCATCTCCTGTAAATAAAGAGCTTCCTCAGTCCCAGGCGGTTTTATCCCTTTATACTGCTTGTTTATGTTAATATCTTAATCATGAGGAGATATGCAACCAGTAAGCTTTTGAAGAACAAAGTGCAAGGACAAACTGAGAAAATTGCCCAGAAGTGTTGACAGAAGTTGTCAGTAGAAATTTATTCTCTTTTCGACGACTTTTAGGTTGGTCTTATAAAAAATGAGAGTCACCATTTGTAAGTTGTATGCAACTTCATAAGAAAATCTAATGACTGGATTTGGGGAAAGACCAAATAACCTCGAAATTCTTGGTTATCTAACATCCATGTTGCTATGGCAACGTCTCAAATCTCACTTTTATCCTAATAAATGCCATACATTTTACCTGTGCCAGTTTGAGCTTTAGGCCAGCGAGGAGTTTTAGATAACTTTGAATGAATGGTAACTATCCACAACCTTGAAACTGTGTCCAGCCACCTTAAAAACGCTAACTCTCCGTAACGAGAAAGACTAGGAATCAGTCAGTTCCATATATGGCCATGACACCATTGGAATCCGCCATTTTGTTTAGGTAGCGAACCTGAACTCGTGGCCTCGGTAAGTTCGGTTGAAAAACAGCCAATATTGATAAGATGGACGAAAAACCGATACGAATGGAATGCCCTAGCCTTCCCAATGGCTGGCAGCGTGAAATTGTGATGAGAAAGTCTGGATTATCTGCCGGAAGAAGCGACGTTTATTATTACAGGTATGGTTTTATGATCGATTTTACAACCCTCTAAATGGTATTAAGCTAGGGTGGATTGTTTTCCTTTAAATTCTGATTCAGATTGTTTGGTTTTATTTGTCTTTTTTGTTGTTGTTGGAAATCTTCATGCCTTCTGAATTCTCGATGTTTCGCATTTTTTTGGTCTCGTTAACTTTGAGGGACTTTTCGGCGGTTACTCAATCTACTAAGGGGCTTTCCATTGTTTGAATAGTAGTATCCAGGACGCGTTTGTTCGCTTAATGATCACCGGGATTATTTTAATCCCACGTTATTTGTAGGAGAAAGAGACTTTCCATTAGATGTGCCCAGTTACTGCCCTTCTAAACAAGTTCCCACACATGTCAGGCTCATCTGTGATCTTGAGATTTACCTTTTAAACATTATTTGCATAATTAACCAAAAAAAGTTGAAGGTACCTGTACGAAGTGTTTGATACCAGTGGGAGCAGCTACAGAATACAGGGCCATATCTTAAGGTCTTAAACAGAAGTGGCTCGAAGGGTTGCTAGTCGTGACAAGTGTTTAAAGAACAAAAAAGACGTAACACATGATAAGTAAAATACTGGTGTGCAACAAACATAGACAGCAATTTCACAACATTGTTGTGAAATGCTTTTACAGATTCCCTATCCCTAAAGTTTAAGTCTTCTAAAAGTCTATTTAGGGATAGGAAATCTGTTAGAGCATTTCACAACAATGTTTACCTCATTTACCTGTCAGTCTGCAAGTCTGCAGTCTGCGTTTGTCGCACACCAGTAAAAGACAGACATAAAGAAAGACATACACCTATTTCAATTAAGGTTGCTTCTGAGAAGAATAATGCATGATCCATGTTTCTTAGTCCACGGTGCATTATTGTAATTAGAAACTTTAAGATCCAACAACACGACGGCGACAAAAACGTCGCTTAAAAAGTGAATTTGCGTTCTTTCAGTCTTTATAGTGATCCTTCCCACTTACTTTGCAAATTGTAGGCAAACCCTCCTGAAGCTGAATTTCAAGGGACCATGTTCAAGCTCAGAAAGAGAAATAAAATTTTGTCGTTCCTTGTTTACATCCTCCAGAAAACACAAAATTAGGCATTTTCAAGTCATAGTTGTGCAAAAACGGGAATGAAATGTACAAAAGAGTGTGATGCATGTGCGAAGTTGTTGTTTTGCTGATTAAACCTATTGTTTTTTTGATGTTCTCGTTGTCGTCCTCGTCGTTGGATCTTAAAGTCCCTATATGTGGCCACAACGATCCTAGAAAGCAAACGCTGCTAACGCTTTTATGCTATGTCAGCAGAACGTTAAGACAATGTATTTCAAAACACTGAATCCTAGGCTTTTTAATTTAAGACAGTGATTTGAGGTTAGGTTTTTCTCTGTGGTAATATGTTGCAAATTTTCGACGAGTTTGCTTTGCTTTGTCGAACAACAATAAATAACTTAACATTACGCGTTGATTTATTTTTGAGGCAATTTTTTAAAACTGAATAAGAAAAAGAATAGCGTTGATTTGCTTTATTAAAATAACCAGCATTCTGGCCCATGCAAAAACGCAGCTTAATCAGGTGGTAAAACCCTATTCATTTAATGTTGTTAAAAGAAGAGGCTTCTAATTTTTTACTATGAGGTTTTAAAAATGAAAATTTTCAGCTCACTCATACTTAAGAATGTTAGCAGCCATTTGACTTGAAAGCTCTCTTGAACGCCTTTTCACAAATGGTCACCATTATTTCAATGAACGTGAACAAGATTAAACTTCCTGTTACAAAAGGGTTTATCATAGTACACTGCAGGCTATGAAACATGGTTCACGGGAATAACCTTAACTGAAATAGGTGTATACATATGAGTTTGGCAAGTTTTAAAGAACAAGTATATATTACTGATGAGCCATTGAGCCACTAAATTTTAGTGGCTCAATGGCTCATCAGTCAATGTGAGTGTCTCTGTCAAAGAATAAGAAGGGTATATAATTTAGTGGCTCGGCAGCTCAGCGGCTTGTCAGTCAAGGTTTCTGTCTTACTCAAGAAAGGTATATGTTTTGATGGCTCAGTGGCTTATCAGTGACTGCCGAGCCACCAAGCCACTAGAACAAATATATACCTAGAAAATTTGCCCTGTATTCTGTAGTTATGCCCACCACTGGAAAGGTGGTGTATTCTAGTTAATTTGCTGCATAGCAGGTAATCCATTTAACTGCGATTAATTTTTGTATAGAAACTGGGATACTTTTAAATCAAACTCTTGCATCAACTTAAGGCTTTTGAGATAGAAAATAAGTAACATGTAAGCATGAAATTTCACTGATTTGAGACCAGCATACCCAAATAGCTTCCACTATTGCTGCAAGTGTTGCAATAGTAACAACATTATCATATTATATCTGAGACCAGACAACCTCTCCATGGCCAAACAATTTTGATAATCCAAAACTTGAGAAAAATTAAAATTCATGTCGTAATTATCATTGTGAAGTAGACAATGAGGAAAGGAATGTCTGTTACCCGGCAAAGAAGCTAACAGAAATATTAAATGTGAGGCCATTGAAAATTTTTAAGATTTTTGGAGAAACCAAGGACTCTTGTCTTTTTGAATAAGTGGCAATCCTTAAGAAGCATGTAACTACATGTACAATAAGTCCAAACCCTGTTTTTTTTTCTCAATACATTAGGCAAATTAATTATTATCAAGAAATAAAAAATAAATTGTTTTTTTAATAATTTTGTTAGCAAACAACAACAACAACTGTCAAAAAAGGAAAGAAGTACAAGCACAGTTCAACCATAAAAAGTTCGTAATTCTGTAAAAATGTTTAGTTTCTTTTAATCTCTCAAAACAACTTAGGTGAAAAAGTAGTTGGACATGGCTAACACTGGGAAATGGATACTTCTCTTCAATTTTGAACTGGAAAACTTTTGCTGCAAATTCTTCTTTAAGTTGCAATCTCAATGTCAGTGACATGATGGGGTTAGGGTAACATACCAAGTGTTATGGTTTTAGGCTAGATAATGAACCAAGTTTTTGAAGATTGGTTTGAAAAGGGTATATCCAAAGTAAAGTACCTCCAAACAGGAAACAACAAATTTGTGACTCTCAATGATTTTGCCCCCAAATATTACATTATATTATGCCCTCTCTGCTTCATTAGGTTTATTTTTAACAATTAATGAATGAGGCTGATTATCTTATGAAGAATTATGGAGATTGAGGAGGGTGTTATCCCGAGGCGGATAGCACCCTCTGAGATCTCCATAATTCTTCATATAATACGAAAGCCGAATTCAATAATTGTTTTGTTATTCATTCAAAATATTTCATAGTTTTAAAACATGGCTAAACATGCTTACCTCCATCGATCCATCCACGTTAAGTTCATCTTTGATAGTGCACGTTTAGGGTTGTTCAGCTCCGCAAATATTCTCCAAATAGCAGAGGTCCCCCTTCGAGTTCTCTTCTTGCTGTTCTTGCCATGTTTTTAGTTACTTTTTCGTCTAGTTCTTATTCTTGAAATGAGTGAAATGTCCGCCATTTTTCAAGTTCACAACCAAAACAACTCCACCTCGTCCAGGTCTTCTCTGATAATGGTGCATTAACCTGTAGAAGGCTGCATTTTTGACGTCATTTCCTCATCAAACACAAAATTCTTCCAAATTGGGTCATCGGTAACTGGTTAAGGTGAATTATGCGGTTGCTTTTAGCCAATCAGAATTGGGGAAATATTTTTAATGAATAATAACAGCTGTTAAATCCCTTTGCAAAATTTTACCAAATCTGGCAGGTGAGGCAAGAGACTACAACTTTGAAACTTTACATGTATGTGACAAAAATATTGTAAAACTGATCAGAGCCAAAAGTCTAACCTCATGTAATATCCAAGTAAATGCTTTCAGGACTGTAAATACTTAGGAGAGAAAAAAAGCTTAAATTGGGAACTTGCCTACATGTATCACATGGCACTTTGGTGCCCAAGGAGCACAAAACTAATAAAGTTTTAGGTTTAACATTTACATAGACTCAAACCAAATAACGATTACTTACTTAAAATTGGAAGAAAATGGCACTTTACTTTTTCCTGCAATTCCATAGAGACATCAGTAGTCATCTTTTTTTGGTCATACCATGTCACGTCCTCCTTTTAGAAAAGCATGACTGATTGCAGGGCTCAAAGATTACAACTAACTGGTCGCATATGCAACTGGATTTTTGGTTGTGCACCTAAAAATTCATGTGTAATCGCACTTGTGCACCACAAAACCCAAAGCACAGTGCGACTGACTTGCTTCCGACCATACTTACGTGCTTGAACTATAAGCACGTTAAACAGTAGCTTCAAGCAAATTATGAGAGAAAAAGTAATGTAGAAATAGCACAACAAGGCTCTAAATAATAAGTTACATTGTTTTTCTTTCATCTGTGCTTGTTTAATTCATCTTTTCTCCCAACGGATTCCACGAACCCGAATTTTCATTTTGATTTTGATGTTCTACTTCATACCAGACTCTTCTGTTTTGTAATAAACGCTGCTGACAAATGTAAATATGCTACGAACAAAACACATGCTTTTTGCGAATGGGCGATCGTGTCGAACGTTCAGTTTTAAGGTCAATCAAAACAAAAAAACAGTGCAGATTAAGGGCCTTTTTTTCCATGTAAGAAAGTTTTTAAGTCATATCCCAGTTACATGTAAGTCATTGAGCATTTTTAAACAAATTCATTAAAGATTAATTTTCATTCTCATGACACACTCATTGTTGTCAGTTTTGAATTTTTTTTTAAAGTGTAAGTTTTCTTTAGTCACCACTGTACTGTCAAAAAGAGAAATTAGTATTAAAAATCACAAAGGGTATTACTGCTTAGCAAATCGGCTGTGTTTTATCAATCACGGGACTGAAATAAAAGTAACAAACTGAATATGACATATAAACGTGGCACTATTAAGTTGTTTACTTTTTCTTTTGAAAAAGATGCTCCCAATATTATAAACTGTGCTCTACAACTTTCAGCTGTCTGCCTAAAATTTTGGCAGTGCGCATAAAAATTTACATCTGGTAGTACAAGTGCTCCCAAGCTCAAATTTAAACTCTGAGCCCTGGATTGATATCAAAACTCTCTTTCAATAGTCTTCAAATACAACTTGTTGAACAAAACTGCATTTGGGCTTGTTAAAGTACTGTCTCTTGCTAGTACAGTTCCATATTTGGCAAGCAAATAATTAACATACCATCTTCTGTACATGTTCCTAACCATATAAAATCAAGATCTATAAACTTGGGCAACACCAAAAAATAGAACTTCCTTGTAGATAGTTTTTAATAGTTTTAACTTGTTTTTCCCTTCCCTCGACTGAAAAATACTGGAAATGTGTTTACTTTTTTGTACATTCATTATATGGAATTACATTTAATAAATAAATAAATTAATTATTAATTATTAGTTATTGGGTAAATGAACGGAAATTTGTTATTCCATTTTCCTTCACTATTGCTAAACAATATTGCTGTTTAAATTTTCTTAGTTTCCTAAACCTTCAGAAAGCGAAAATTGAACTTTTTTCATTTTCCCGAGAAAATGAAAATTAAGGACATTGAATTTCAGTTTTCATTTTCTCTTGTTAACAAAACTCACAGAGAGATATTTTGGAAATTTCAATGCATGCTTTTGGTGCAAGTTCATAAAGTTTTTAGGTACGTTTACCCCACCAACATGCAATTATTACTGATAAGCAAATTATACCCTTTTTACAGGAAACCCTTCAATTACAAACAACAAATTGTGTGAGCTAAACTTTTCTTTCATAATTATATCAGTGTCAGACATTATTCCAAACAAATCTGTTCCTAAAATGAACACTTAAGAATGATGAGGTGTTATAACCGGGTTTGGAGGAGGGGTTTTGATCCCGCATTCCCGCTCTTTACTCACGTAAATCCCGCATTCCGCACTTTTTTTCATCGCTTTCCCGAAACCCGTTTTTTTGTGTTCAAAATATGTACGTTGATAAAAAAAAAAACTAATTGCTGTAAATACTAATGATCTAAGATGTAGATTAGCTCTTTTGATTGATATTTTGAATTTACGAGTGTTCTACGGCCATTGCCAAAAAAGGGAAATAGCTTTTCATATCTCAGTTTTACCAACCGGAGGGGAAAAGGGGGAAGAAACGAAGAGGGGGAGAGAGGAGGGCGGGTTTCTTTCCCCCTTCTCTCTCAACCCCCACCCCTACGATGTTTTTTCTTGCTCCCTTTTCTTTCCGCTGCCCCCTCAACTGAACTCCTGGAACGTGAAATTCTGGCGCTAGAGAACTCTCTATGGCCGCAAGAAATAACGACACCAAAACTCTTGACGTTCTTATTCACAAGAGCAGAGCTAGGATCACTGTTCTGTTTGCAATATCTTAAGTTTAATGGATCAAAGTATCTCTTCAAGTTATACAATAAATGTAAAGAGCTTGAGCAATTGAAGACATAAGCACTAGGTCATTAAAAACCATGTGTGCTTTTCTCGCATCCGCTTGAAACTGTAAGTCTTCTATCCGCTCGTCCGTTGATCACTTGATAGTTTCAATGATGTAATCATTACCTACCTCACTCTTTTTCATAGCCAGGAGAACGCTCGCCTGTTCGACTTCGCATTTGCCGCTTGAACGTACGACTTCCCGAATTTCCGACAGACGGGCAAAAAAAATCGCGCACCCCGTGCCCAAATTTTGGTGAATCCCGCTTCCCGGTAACAGTCAAATCCCGTTTCCCGTCAAGATATTTTGCGTTTTCCCGAATCCCGCTCCGTATTTTGTTCAAATCCCGGATCCCGAAAATACCCTTCCAGATCCTGTTTTAACATTGATTAAATTTAACATTATATCGGAGAAGGCCTGGCGTTAGTGCTGGCACAGGTACAGCATAATATAACGTCTGAACTTGGAGTTGACTTAAGCAAGGTGTAGAGTCAGATAAAAACAAACAAAGAAGAGAAAGAAGACAAGATAAAACCCGGCGATGGTTCGAATTCATTAATTATTTCATTTGTAAAAACTTTGACAACTGCTTTAGCCGTTTTTGTTTGATATGGAACGGTGCATATTTTCCATCCTGTACCCATTTATCTTTTAGTTTAAGCAATTAAGTAAATTGGTAAACAACAAATTCAGCAAATATAGATCGTTCCATAGGTACTCAAGTTGGCCAATTTTGTTTAAACCTGACAGAGTTAAACACAGAAAACCTAGTAAGATTTTGAGGACAAATCCACTGCCAATTTTGCTATTCACCCAGTACTCTTTGCAGTTTAAATTTGCCCCTTTACTACAGATAGCAAGCCAGAAGAAAGAAAGGCGATTAAGTGGGCAAGTAAGTTGGCGTTAAAAAACATAAAAGGCAGAGTGAAACAACAGAGCGAGATCCAAATAGATTCGACAAAAATAATCCAAATTTTGGCTTATGCGCATGCGTCAAAACCAAAAAAGCTGCTTCTAAAATTACATCCAACTAGTAGGAAAATCTGTTCTGAGTGTTGCAAAATTGATTTTTAGCCGTTCCCTTACTAATCGGCCTAAAACTTAGCCTGAAATTCAGACGATTACTTCGAGTCGTTTTTACTCCCTCAGCAAAAAAGTAATCGTCTGCAAATTCAGGCTGCCTAACACTGGTCCCAAAAAGATTAACTTGGTGCATGTTTTGGACGGATGCAATCACCAGATGACTTAATACAAAAGATTGACACGGTATAATATCCACACCACAAAACAACAGCTAACCAACATAGTCTCCGCAACACCAAGAAACACCCCAAAAAGAGGAGTTGGTGAAAAACCAATGCGGTTTATCGACATTCGCTGGTGTTCGCCAAAGGGTAACTAGTCTCTCACCCAGCCGTTTTTGCCTCGTCACGCAACGCTCCTTCCCAACAAACGGCTGCTAGTCACATTCGAACCACATTCCTTTCGTTATTTTACAGTAAGTGGCGTAGTACATTCAGCGAACATAGAGATCAGACCATGCTTCGAGTGTTTTTTAACCGCCCACCTCAAAAAGTGGTCGCGGTCGTTTACGAGAGGATCTAATTAATTCGCCCCTGGAAATTTTGCCTTGCCTGCGTGGCAGGCGTTTGAAAGGGAAGGGAAAGGGAGTTTTAGGCACGAGAGAAACGCGAGGGACGTTTCCCTCGCGCCCAAAACCCCCTTTCCCTTCTCTTTCAAACGCCTGCCACGCAGGCTAAATTTTGCCGAAAAACGCGTTTTTCGCTAGTCGAGCGGTTTTGTGGTCACTGTCGTGCTATAAATAGCTATAACTTACCATAAAGCCTTTTACAGGTCTTACACTTGTGCGGTCCTCTGATCTATTAGCTTGCGAAGTTCGGGCATGCGCAGCAAGTGAACATGATCCTTGAGATACAATGAACAACCCAATCGGTTGAAAACGTGAAAAATACTGATCAGGCTTCACTTTCACATGTATAATTATTCTGATTATTATCTGGTAGTTCGTCCGTTTTCTTTACCTTGTAATGTTTTTTTTCTTAAACAGTCCAGATGGAAAGAAAATTCGCTCCAAACCTCAGCTGGAAAAACATCTTCCAGACTTGGATCTGGGCAACTTTGATTTTCGAAGTGGTACTTATTGCCGACGAAGCAAACGTAAGCAAGGTGACAAGGATCAGAGTTTTTGGCGCGACTTAAATGGAGGCATCATCCCAGCTCCGGTGCGTCAATCCAACAAATCACTGTCAACACAGAAAGTAACATATTATCCTCCGTCTATGGTGGTGGCAGGTCCAAAAGAGAAAAAGCGAAAACATGATAATGCAGCGAATACAAAAACTGACAAAGATAAACCAAAACAGCTGTTTTGGGAAAAAAGACTACAAGGGATCCAGGTTAGATCGATGGATGAAAACGTGATTAAATGCTTTCAATTGCCCAGCCAAATAAAGAGTGTTGGACCCAGTATAAATCAGAAGAGTTTAATGCACTCGTTAGTGACAAATTTATACAACAAAGCAAGTGTCAAAGGGCAAGACAGGTCCGCAGTAGCCTTGGAGAAACATCCTGAGGTGTGGCTTAATGCTGAACAGCCTCTGTGCGCACCATTTGTCATTACGGAGGCAGATATTAAAAAACAAGAGGAAAAAGTATCCACATTGAGGAGGCAGTTATCTGAGGCTCTTGTTGAATACGAACATTTGAAGAGAGACCTCCCGGTAAAATAGGCGGAATGCATGTATGCAACATAAGTCGTTCAAGACAGCTCTGCAATTATCTTTCTGAAATCTATTTTTCTAACACTTCTTGCCCTTTAATTTCATCGTATTGTTTGCATTATCAATAATGTATTTGTTTATGATTTTGGATTTTTATAATAAACTAGTGTTGGATGTTCTGTATTCTTTTAATTCTTTTCTTCTTATCGTTTCATATAAACTACATTTGCGAAGTGGTCCACTACTGTAACCGAAAGGCTTTGTAGTCAAAATTCCTGTAATAAGTTGTCTACGTTTATACCAGAGCCCCAGCCGTTCAAAAGGTGTATGAATTACTAAAAACAGAACTACTAAGGCAAAGGGCCAACCTTTGTCAAGTGTTTACTTGTCCCTTATCCAAGGGTGACCGCCAAGTGGAGGTTGGACTGTTGTTGAAAAAATTCCTATAGTTTTCAAGAGAGGAAACAATTGACTAAGTTATTTCAAGCTCCATTACTATTCTCTCTTTTTCGGCGAATAACTCTGTTCGGTTGTTTCAGTCACTTGTGGCGCGGGTGTTGAACCATAGTCACTTCCCTTTAACATGCTTTAAAAGAGTGGCGAATGGACAAATCCGAGACTCGTCAGGACGGCATTGGACAACCCTGACAAAAAATCCTGAGTGACTGGTGACGAAGCGCAAGGGATCGTGGGAAGGAGAAAAATGAGCGGCGCCCGTTTTCTCCCTCCCGCCTTCCTTTGCGCCCAAATTTTCATCGAGAGAGAGACGTCTGAGTACGAGGTAGCTCTCGGTCGGTCCGTAACATCAGCGCCTGTGTTAATGTTCGCCTATAAACCGCCAAGCAGCAAAGCCTGTTATCTCCATCAAAAGATACTTCAGCAAAAGCACAGTGGTCAAGGCGTCGATCACCGAGTTCAACTTCAAGGAAGGACGATCGGTTCCTGTTTCCCTCTATCCTTCTTTCAATTTCTAAGCACTAAACGACACAGCTTTAGTACATCGTTAGGCTAACTTACGTTCAGTTCTTAAATAGGTCCTCATTTTCTGAGGGAGAAAAAAATTACATTGTAGCTAACAGTATTTTGCGGTATTCAGATTATTCCTTATATCATTTACAAACCATCCATTTATGTAAAAAAAAGGGATGATGAATAACTTGTTGGCTTCACACTAGAGCTTGTAAGCCGATGATCTAAGTGCACTTGGAATCTACTTGGAGTGTGAAAGGGTAAAATGAACTCTCTTGAACATGGCAACATTCGCAGTTCAAAGAAGCCGAAGTTCGCGGCCAGGTATAATATTCGGCACCGCACTTGAGAACACACTTCACGAACGTGCAAATGAATATGTTCTAAATTCCAGGTAAATTAACTCGCTACATTTCGAACTGGAGAAAGTACACATCGCCGGGAGTTTGAGAGTTCTACACGGCGATTTCTTTGCCCAAAACCAAGTTTGTTGTCGCTAGAGATGTCGCTTGTTTCTTTATGTTAATGGTAGCCTTAACACTAGAGCCTAAATAAGCTAGGAAATATTTCAAGACAAGTAAATTTTGAATTCTTCAAGTAAAAGAAAGCTTCACACAACTTATCCTTTTTACTTTAGGTTTACTAAAGCCTCTTTTCCAACACAACATAATTAAGATTGATTGACATGCTTGCCTTTTTCAAAGCTTACAAACCGTAAGTCCGCTAAGTCGGTTTTAACGATGTTTTTCAAATTACTTGAAACTTTCTTGAATCGTTCCAACTTTCCGACTTTAATGAAATGCAAAGTAAAGTAAAGTTACGTGAGATTTTACTTAGGCCTACACAGACGCAGTTTTGGTTAAGTAAAACTTAGCAGCTCTTAAGTCTTACTTAACAGCCTAGTGTGAAGACAACCATTGCCAAGTACTCGTTAATAACGAAGTACCTAATCATTTCTTGTTTGGTTAAAACTCTTTAAGTTAAAATGAAAGCCAAAATTGATATAAAAACACAGAAACCTCTTGGTTTAAGTGGCTTGCAATCGTCAATATTTGTGATATGTATGACTGATTAAATTGTGAAAGATAACTGGCAGCTTCTACTTCAAATAAGAAGTGTGAAGCCAAGTTTTCTACCGAGGGACTTGAAATTTTTAAGTGCACTTGAATCAAGTAATTGCTTGAAACTAAAGATGCCAACAATTCTCTTTTGGTAAAAGTGATTGTAATAAGAACATGTTTAAGTTACCTTGGGAAAATGCAGGTTCTTACTTGCGCAGATTTTTACTGTATTCTTATTTTTGTTTTACGTCAGATTGATAAGGTATCAAGTTTTATTTGTTTTGGTTTTGTTTATCCAATGAATGCCTCATGAGAGAACACATTCACTGACCAGAGTGCTAGCCTACGTAGCAGGCGTCGAAAGGGGTAAAGTAAGTGCAGGTAACCAGAGAGAGTGCAGGCGTCAGCGGGTAGCGCCGCCTACTGTTGCGGACGCTTAAAACGGAGAGGTGGGGGCTCGATCAATGTTCATTGTTGTCGTGTTTTCAAAATATACAGACAGCTATTTCGAGAAGGGTTGTCGGAAAAAGTGCACCCGACAATCCCGAAAGGTATTGTGGGTGGTTTTGACTTGACTGTTGTTCAAAGAAATTTGAAAGAATGACAGGAGAGGCTATGGGCGTATGTTTGCGAGTGCTAAAGGAAAGCAACAAAAGTAGCGAGGTTCGACAGCTACAGTGTCAGGAACAGTGTATTGCAATTGATCATAGCCCATGTTACCTTTTGGGATTGTTGCGAGCACATTTTTTCCGACAACCTTTCTCGAAATAGCTGTATCATCACATTGATCATCATCATCATGATTAGCACTTTTTTAAAAAGCTTGATCGGGGGGCCCGACAGGGCCAAATGATATTGTTAAAGTTCTCTGTGCGGTTACGTTTTTCTGACAAGGAAGCTGAAAGGCAAAGATAATTATCAACATTCGCATAACAATTCTTACCCGTTTTGTAGTGCAACTTAAACAAATAAAAATAGCACAGTATCGGGACGATTGGGTTGAAGCCTGAAGCTTTATTTAATCTCGGGTTAACGTTTGATGAGGTTGGTTAGACCTCTAGCAAAAAATATGCTAATAAGCCGAGGAAAAAAAACAATGAAAACAAAAGAAACAAATAAAATAACAGAGAAAGAAAGGGAAATCCAAAAACTTATTTACAGTATAAAGCCTAAAATTACGTGACATAGCTTGCCCAATTACTTAATAGAACATAGATATTATATAGAATTAGCTAAAACCTTCGTTGTCGGACTGCTTTTTTAAAAGCTGACAATGTGCTTAGGGTTCTTAAGGTATCAGAAATCTTGTTCTAAGTAATAGCCGCCAAGTACTTTACTGAGTTCTTCCCATAACGAGTCGTATTAGGTTTCAGCACTTGCAGCTTGTTAACCCCTCTCAAGTTTTTGATGTTGTCTCTTAACCTAAATAGGTCTCTCAGATATTCAGGTGGATAATTGTTTATTGTCTTAAATACAATAATCAACAAGTTCTGGATACGTCGATCCACAAGGCTGTAACCAATACGATCAAAAAGAGTGCCAGTTTGTGAAGACTCGTCACTGAACAAGTAACGACTCCTTAATTGACTTAATTTTGTCTCTTTCTCATATTCTTTGCACGTTACGAATTGAAATGATTTAAACCAAGACGGACAAACAGCCGTCATTTCAGCACGCCACCCTGACTGGTTTTCCCGCATCATTTGTCGGGAAAGGTGAAATGTCGGCTGTTTTCTCAGGCTAGAGAAGTACTGGTACTCATTGCCAATTAGTAGGCAAAAGATGCTGACTGAAATACCTAATTTGGCAGATTTTAGTCCAAGAAAGCCTGGTTGTTGAACATACAGTCAAACCCCAGGACACTGTCCCAGTCAACTGTCTCTCAACCTCTATGTATAAGACGGACACCTCTTTAGAACGAACACCGGCCTAGAGTTGCTTCCTTCTTTTCTTACTCCTTTTAGTTGACCCTGTAATAGAGGTGTGCGTTAAGAGAGACTTGACTGCAGTGGAGAAGCAAACGATGAGTGCAAATTATGCGGCACTTGCCTACCAAACAATGCCAAGTCATTTGGTACAGGATAATGATCAAACTGGACTCCTCCTTCAATAGGTACTTTCAATTACCAACAAACAACAAAGAAATCTGTATTACGTTGATCTTTTATTCACCTAGTGAGAAGCAAATCTTAGCCGGCCACGCATTTTAAAACTGGTTAATGACTGCATGTTAAAAAAATGACTGGTTTTTCTCCCGCAGGTCACTGACTTCTACTCCAGTCCGGGGTTCCAGCCAAATATTATACAAAAAATAAAGTGTGGGAAAATACGCTTAGCTATCTCAGTGTTTACAATACCAGATAAAACCTGTTGTATATAATAGTTTCGAGTCTTTTTAATTGTTCGAGTCCAAGTATGTTAACTATTAAGCACATTCAGTGTCCGCTTCGGCTGTGCGTGCAGGCCAGTCCTGGCAAATACCAGCTTTCCCATGGAACCTAAATGGCACAACTCGTTATGGTATAATGCATTAAAAAATTCCAGTTCATAGCCGTTTTGCAGCTGTTGATACGTCGTTGTCGTTAGTAAGAGATTCAAGTCACGTTTTGCTAAAAATAATGTTCAGAAGTTTCTGAACTTTCATTAGCCTTATACATAAAGACAAAGAAATAATGCAATTAAAGTATTGCGATTGTCTTTTACTGCGTCAATTCATAAGGAAGGATCTCAAAGGACTTTTATATTCTACTATATCAGCTTTTATGACTACAGTTTATCGTAACACCCAGCCTCTGAAAAGACCCAAGAATTACAAAGGTGCCGCAAGCCGAATTAATCTCGTGGGCAGAACAATCTTACGTTAAATGTAAATAAAAGAGTATGATTAAGTAACAGATTCCATCCCTTGGCTTCCGAAAAAAAGAATCATTTTTCTCGCTGTTTGACTGAGATATGAGTTCGGTTAAATGCCAGCGAAATGAAAAGAAAACGATCATTGGAGATAAATAATCTTTTTTAAAAAACAAAGTGTGTACGAAGTTTTAAGTTGAAGCCCTCAGGCCTG